AGATGAATGAGTGAACATATGAATGGATGAATAGATAAATTAATGAACACATGAATGAATTAGCAGATGAATAGATGAACAGATGATGGATGAAGGGATGATTGAATGAACAGATGAATGGATGAGCAGATGAATGAACCAGCAGATGAATGGATGAACAGATGATGGATCAACAGATGAATGAGTGAACATATGAATGGATGAATAGATGAGAATGAATGAACACATGAATGAATTAGCAGATGAATAGATGAACAGATGATGGATGAAGGGATGATTGAATGAACAGATGAATGGATGAGCAGATGAATGGATCAACAGATGAATGAGTGAACATATGAATGGATGAATAGATGAGAATGAATGAACAGATGAATGAATTAGCAGATGAATAGATGAACAGTTGATGGATGAAGGGATGATTGAATGAACAGATGACGGATCAACAGATGAATGGATAAATAGATGAATGAATGAATAGATGATGGATGAAGGGATGAATGAATGGACAGATAAATTAATGAACAGATGAATGAGTGAACATATGAATGGATGAATAGATGAATGAATGAACAGAATCAGTCTTCTTGTTCTTTGACGTCTTTTATTGATGTTTTCTTACAAAACAAAAACTAAGGTTCCACGTGACTCACAGTCAGATATAAATTAGACAAACATCCAACTTAAATAAACATCTGTGTGTCGGAGCAGAGTTCTGGCCTTCAGCTTATCAATCACAGCTGGTGAACAGAACCGACCCAGAAACAGTTTACAACAGGTTTAGGAAGTTCAGGAAGTCAGGGCAGGGTTCCTGTGTTCGGGTCGGGAATCCTGAGTCGGTGTTCCGATGGCAAGATTGGGCCTGACAGAACCAGATAGATCCGTTCGTTGTCCTTTAGGATCTCCCCGTGTTTCAGCTTCTATCTCGGGTCTAGTTGTTGATCTTTGTTCTTATTTTATACTCAGAACATGACTTCCAGGATGCAGAGCCTGGAAAATGCTCCTGATCAAATGTTCTGCTGAAGCAGAACCGGATCCTTCCTGGGAAATCATTCAGTAATCAGAATCATCTGGAACTTCTCATCCCCATCATATCATTCATTCCTAACAGCCGGAGCCATTTTTAACCCCCAGTGAAACCAGACCTGATCTTCCCCGACAGGAACCGGGTCAGGAGCTAAAGTCTAAGTCGAATGAGACCGATCCGATGCTCAGCCTGCGGCTCGGGTTTGGATCCGGACGACCCGGAGTAACGAGGAATATTTATGGATACATTTTTGCTCTGATGTCAAAGTTCTGGTCTTAAATTTAAAAATAAACAGATAAGCGAGTTCAGAACCAGCATGTTGTTCTTCCTCACTCGTTAATAAAAACTCAGAGCCTTTTCTGGGTTCTGGCTTGTATTCAACCAACCAATCGCTCCAATATTTTACATTTTCTTTTGGGAATTTTCCAGTGATTGGCTCTAATGGAGAACAACACTTCTCAGTCTGCGTATCACTGCAGCCTATCAGACGGCCGATCCGGTTCTGTTCTATCTGAGCTGAACGGAGCCCAAAAGGGAATTACAGATGTTCTGTGATCAGCTGCTCAAACTGCATCCACGACAGGAACTAAAACTCTGGAGGACTGGAAGCGTTGATGTTTAGAGACCGAAGAATCTCTCTGGAGAAAATTCACAGGAAACATCACTAAATATAGATTCATGGAAAAAATGTAGCAGCCGATCCAAACAAACTCCGCAGTTATCAAACAGGTTCTGAGGAGTTTCGACAATAAAGTCCTTAAAGTCTCCCTGTAGGGAAAACAAACGTCCCATTCAAACTCCAGTTCAGGAAGACAGCACCTCCAGTTCAGATCCGGGATGCAGCTGATCCCTGCTCTCGTGCAAACACGTCTTCCATCCTCTGTAGAACCGATCCGAGATCGGTTTACACTCCGATCCGATTTCTTCGACCGCTTCAGGACCTGCTGAGGATGAAAGGAAGGCGCACGTTACTCTGGCCTCCACCAGGAGGCAGCGGAGAGGTGAAGCAGGTGGAGGCTGCGGGGTTGGGTCTGCCACTGTCCCCTCTCCCAGGGTAGGGAACCCTCAGCACTCCAGCGGCGGGTGGAAGCTTCTTCTGCAGTCGATGGCTTTGGTACCAGGAGGCTGAACCTTCTTCCTGCGGAGCTCATCCCGACCCAGAGAGCTGCCGAGGCGCAGGTACGCCGCCTTGTACTTCTTATCAAACGCAACTGCAAACAAAGACAGGAAGATTTCAGAGGCTTCGTCTGGAGAGAGAATCAGAGTCAGAGATCAGGGATGACTATGACGAGCCGCGGCCCCAAGATCACACATCTGGTTGGCTCTGGTTTAAAACTGGAACAAGGAAGGTCCTGGAATCTGAATTCCCCTCATTCCCATTTTGCCCAGCAAAATTGTGCAAGCGTCATTTCTCTGAGATCACTTAATATAAAAATATCCGACCCTGAATGAAATCAACAAAGTTATTTTCAGTATTTCTAATCTGTTTAATTTGTGTCTTACAGATATTACAGTCTAAAGATGCTAATAACTACAGCAGCTAATGACTACAGATGCTAATAATTAGATAAACTAATGACTAATTATGCTAATAACACTAAATGCTAATGAAAATGCTCTAAAGTCTCTGCTTCTGGGACAGGGCTTGATGTTAACCATCGCCCGATCTCCCGGGGCAAGTAGTTTTTATTGTTGGGAAAGTACAAATTTCACTGCATTTGCCCGCCGTACAAGTGCGATGATCACACAAAAAAAAT